TGGGAGATAAGACTGGGACGTAAATACAGTCACATACACGTTTTCAATACTAGTATATTTGGCGCCATTCCAGACTTGCGACGACGAAAAATAACAAGAACGATCGTACTACAGGGTGTCCCAAAAAAAACGAAAACTATTGAAATCACCCATAACAATGCAATTGTTAGAGTTTGAATGCCTAAGCACTCTGTTGGGACCCATAGGTGTATAAATGTTTGCCATGTAGTCATTTTTATGCATGCATATGATGCAGTAAAATTTGCTTGTTCGCATAATCATATTTATCAACAATATTTACAATTTACAAATATGGATAACATTATTTAAATGTGCATCTCAAGGACCATGACCTTCGACATATTCCCCTTTCTCTAGCAACACAAAGCATTTAGCATTTTATAAGTTGCATTAAATCCCCACGGGCTGTAATTCGTGAACACAGCATTCGAATTTTAACAATGAGTGATTTCAATAGTTTTCGGGTTTTTTGGGACACCCTTTGGGACCAGGAACTGCGTAATCGAGTTTAATTTCTGAACTGCATTGTATTTATAACAATGGAGAGGACAATGTATTTCTAATCGTTTCCGTTTACTTATATATAGGCTGAATATTAATGATATGTATATATTATTTGCTGCAAATATATCAAGAATTGCTTGTAACTTGCTTCAAAGGTCAAAAGTAAAAATTCGAACTCCGTCAATCGATGCGGAATATTGCTTAGAATAATTGTGCCAAGTTTCATTCCGATCAAACAAGTAATGCTAGAGCCTTAGGGTTTTTTAAAGAGCGTCGCCCCCTAACAACAACAACAACAACAACAAGATTAGCAGCGGTTAGGGACCAATTCCTGGTCCAAAAAAAACAAAAACAAAAACGCGTCGCCCCCTAACAACAACAACAACAACAACAACAACAAGATTAGCAGCGGTTAGGGACCAGTTCCTGGTCCAAAAAAAACAAAAACAAAAACAAAACAAAACCGGGGCGAATTTTCAACTCCGTCGCTGGCGCCGGAGTAATTAGTGGACTGAAAGTTTTGAAACTACATAGCTAAGATGTTACAACATGATGTCTACTTGCAGAATGACGTATATGAAATTATATTTGATATTTTACACAGCCTGCACTGGCTACGTCTGGCTAACTATTTTTGCATTCTATACTCGCGAGAAGGGATTTTATCACTGAGCTATATTCAGATTCCTGGAGGACTTGCTCGTCATTTTTGGCAACTGCGCCGCCATCTTTTTTTCCGCAAAAACATGGCGGACATCGCCTTCTGCGCAGTGAGGAGAAGCTCTGCTGACGACACATGGTTCCTTTTTGCCATGGTATTTTCCACTGTCCAGGCTCAATCGTAAGCCCGCTACAGCAGCATTCTCCCCCTGTTTTTTCAAAACAATATTAGTTTTTTCCCGTGAAATATGATTGTTTTTATATTTTCGTTACGACACACATATATATATACAGGGTTATCAGCCTTATTTATTGCCCTTTAGCGAGCTTCATATGAAGTTTAGGTCCTTGTATATCGTCAATCGTTGTCTTGTCCAAAAGTCTTGTTTCAGACACTCAAGCTGCACTTCCTCTATATATTCCAAATTAACAATAAAAACATAAAATTGTTTGTGAAGAGATTGTGCAGATAAGGTGAAATGACTATATTACTAATGTATTCTGTGTTTTCATTAAACTTACTGTAAGTTGGTTTTTCTTATATTTTTCTGGCAAAAGATTTCTCCCCTTTGTGTACCTTTGACCAGTGGTGCTCCCGCTGTGTTCTCTTGACTTTTTTTCTCTGTGATTTTCATGCCTATTTAAACAAAACAGCCCATAGTTAACAAGTAGCTAACCACTTAAGATTTATTATTCACAGAGAAAACACAATTTCATTTAGATTTTATATAAACCTGGCCATAAATGAATATATCATGATACACTTACTTTCTTCCTTCCCAAAATTCCTGTCCGTCTCATCTTTGACTCTGAAGGCTGAACAAGATTGTCCGATTTAGCCGCATCAAGTGCTCTATTCATAGTTGGTAGAACATCTGGTTTAGGTATTAATTTGCGTTTACCAGAAAAGTTTATTAACTCCAAGATGTGGGAGAATGCGATGGAATATATGCATCTGCATGGACTAAAATGTAGAGAACACAAACACGTGAATTTTGACGAAGCTTTTTCTTGCTAAATTCTATCCAGATGCCGGTTCGTTTTTCTTCCTCACTAACCGACTTCGGGAAAGAGGAAAAATGTATTTTCTTCTCAACCTTTTTTTGCTGGCGTTTGCGCATCCATAAACAGCACAGTACATCAGCACAGTGCAAAATATTTGCTTTTCGCGTTATAACCTTTTAACTTTAACTCAGGTTGTGACGTCACAAGTATCCAATGTGCATAAATTAGCATATGCGAAACAATCGTTATTTTCTTCGGATGTAAATGCCTACAGATTAAACTTGTACTATTTTTTAATAATTTATATGGTAAGCTTTATCTTAAGATTGAAAAAAAATATAATCGAGATTTATGTCGATCATTGCTACATACATTATCTCTAATCTTGCCAGTTGCAAGTGCTTATCTCGCCTTCAAATTCATTCTCTTGTAAAGCTTTGACTGCCGCGATGAAGTTCCTATTTTCTTTTTCAACCATTTTTTACTTTGTGTTCTGAAACTTCCGGAACTAAAAAAAGGATTCCACGTATTTTATGACAAGAAACAAATGATCTCCCCGCGGTCCAAAAACTTGCAAGTTTCCTACCAGGATTTTGTCAAATTCGTAGAATTTCGAATTCGGGGATTACTCGTTGACGAGGCTGGTTGGGATCCTGTTGTTACACAGTATCAGCTGTTGCTACAGATTCCAATGGTCATTTGGCTTGCGCGGTGACAACAGGTATGACAAGTCAGAATTTCTAATCTTCTTCCGCTATGTTTTTAAAACTGTTTTTTCCCTAAAACAGTCCAGTACTCATTGTACGTGAAAAATCGTTATTTGGCATGGTTTAAAGTTTTTTTTTATCAAAAAAAGATATTTTCGAAGGTTTCCATACATTGATCAGTATGATTAGTGTTTTGCTTTTTCTGCAATTGGTTATAAGCGGTGTTACATGCAGGAGGATTGACAGGTCGTGTAAGCGATGCTTCGATGGTGGGTTCAGGGGGTTACGCAAATGAAAACGGAGCAGCAACCACATCCGGACTTAGGGCAATCAATAAATAAAACAGTCTTAGCAAGAGATGTCGTTTACAAGATGGGGAGTCAAGTGCATGATGTAGATGGTGTTTATATTGCGATTGATCAACAGAGAAATTTTATACCACTGTGTTGATGGTTTGGGTCAGCATTAAGGAGAACACAATGCAATTTGGCTTGAGACAAAACGTTGGGGAAGTGCAACTGTAAAAGATCCAAAATAGTCGTTCGTATTACATTTTCATACGAACATGTTTTCCAAATGCAAATCAAAATCCAAAATTAGTTTATATCAATAACCCCTCGCTATTTCAAACTATAACTGCACTATAGTTGCGTATAGCCAGCCTTACGATTTTGTCCCGCTATGTAAACTTCGAGTTATTATAACTATTCATGTCTTTAGAAAATAATCTATTGTTTTCACAGTCAGTGAACAATAAAATATTAGCATAGCGCCTTAGCGGGACAAATCGACAGGCTGGCTACGCTACAGACTGCACAATTTCCTGTCGAGCTAGCGCGACCTAAAATTATATTATGGAATGACTTACATCTGAAATTATTGGAATGTATTACCGAGTATTATATAGTCATATAATATTTCCATTGTTCTGTACAAAAATAGTCATAAAGTCTAAAGTTTGCATGTCAAGTTTTTGCTGTATAATGTATTACATTCTTTCCTGTTTCTTTTCACTTCGTCAACTTAATCTTTTTTATTACGACTCATTATGTCCCTCCGGTGCTAATAATTTCTACCGCAACATGGTGAATTCATAAGCAGAAATATGTCAAAGACGATGTCGCACGAGACAACTTTAAAAAACATCTTGCAATGCAAATTTGTTTATTATACAATTACTTAATGTTTCCGTGTTTGGATGACCTGATCCAAACACGCGGGAATGTTGCGAGAGTTAAGAAAAGCGCGCGAAACACGAACCGAAAATAACAACAACAAGGCCTTTCTTTAAAACTTTAAATTTCCGTGTTTGGATGGCCTGATCCAAACACGGGCTTCGACCAATCAGATCACCCCTTACAAAAATTTCACATAACATTTCATATATGAAATAGGAGTTTCAAAAATGAAATGATCATTTTCATATATGAAATGAAAAACTTCATATATGAAATTTGATTTTCACGTAAGAAAAGTGACTTTCATATATGCACTCTAAATTTCGAAGTGTCCGACAAACACCGAATAAGTTTAAATACACACAATTTTGGTGGAAATCAGTATATTACACCCACAAAGTGCAAATTTACCCGCCGAGGTGTATTATTAGTATTACACCAATATTGTGTTTTCTCAACACCGGTTAAGTGTATAGCTAAAGTAATTCTTCTTTGGCGTAAATTTACGTCAAAAGTCGGTAAATAAACACCGTTCTTGTGTAATAAAGCACCACTTTGGTGTAAACATTATCGCTATAATTTTATGTTGAATGATAATATTAGTTTTCCTATATAATAGCATGCAATTAGTGGAATAAGACTTTTAGAATTTTGTTTTTTTCAATTAGCTGAAAATTAACATTTGTTCACAATGAACTGACCAGAGTACTGTTGTTGCGAAATAATGTTGCGAATAATGTATTGGTCATTCATTTGTTTTTTTTTTACATTGATCTATTATATAGCTACGTGTTATTTTATAAAAAAAATTCCAACACTAATGCGTAACCTCATTTGAATTGCGAATTATATTGTGAAACGGAAAAACTCTCTGATAAGGAGTACAAAGGTCAAAGATTTCTATCAAAATCACGCGATATTTTGAATAATAAACATCACGACGTGTTAAGAAGTTGTCTTAAAAAAACAAAAATAATACCATTGACACCGTTGAGCCCAACTGGTAAGTTTCATTTTTAAATTACGTTTGAAACGTTTGCGGTTTGTTGTGCTATGTCTGTAGATTGATACTGAGGTAATCAGGTAGTGCAGTAGACTTGTAGACTCTTCAAACTAAATATAATATAAATCTTAAAGCTCGCTGCCAATTTTAGCGGATCAGAGTGTTGAACATATAGAGCTAGCACCGGTGGTTCGAAGTGCGTTTAGCCTAAAGTGGATGAATCTAGAAATTGAAATATTCTCAATAATGACGAAATGACTGAACATACACCTCATTCAATAAAATAATATGTACTTCCGTTCAAAATTAAACTATTTACATCGAAATATTGTTCAATAAATAGATAATTCTACTTTCCATTTTGCACTTATCCACCGTTTAAGCTAAACGCCTTTCGAACAACCGGCCTAGAAAACTATAGATGATCCTAGGTGGTTGAGAAAATTAGATGATCGTATAGGTGGTTGAGAATTCAACTCAGACTTGTGTACATTGTAATAAAAAAAATCATCAATCTCTAGGTTGATAGTTCAACAGGTAGATTAGTGGACTAGATATCTGAAGGTTGCTAGTTTGAATTTTTGCTTTCATTCCATAAACGCTATCACGCAAGTTGTAAATAAACTGTCTTATCTGATGTATATAACCATTTTGCCTTGTATGTCTGTCCAAATGTTCTAAATTAAACAATACAGGCCTGAAAAGTTCTAATAAACATAGAACTAAATTAGGTTTTGATCAAACCCTACAGGTACGTCGTTATTGTCGTTAACAAGTCATTTTTGCTGATTAGGGTTAGTCCGGAATCAACTGATTTGTCTTTATTTCCTGTGTTTATATCGGTCATTGTTGATTGCACACACACAGAAACTTTATATTACTTTAGCTAACTTGACATGTTTACGACGATTAAACAAAGATCAGGCTTTGGTGTAGGTAGACATTAATTAACAACGCTGACCACATGGGCGGATCAAGGGTTTTTTAAACATATGTCCAGATTAAAAAAAATTTGGAAAATTTATTCGGCAGATAAGAATTTTTGACTGTTTTCTCTCAAATCAGGGTTCATCAGCCCTGAAGTCTTTCATCAAGCTTAGAGCAGAGTCAAGCTTTGATTAAAATATTAGAACTAGATTAAGTTTAAATGTAATCATATAGAATTGAATAAGATCTTGATGAAATCCTAGCGCCAGATTAAATCCCGACTCACAAGAAGACAGAGTTACAAAGTAATGAGACCAGTATCTGCAACGTGAAGTCTGAAATGATGCATCTTGTTTTGTTTGTCAAGAGGTACTAAAGCGCAGAGACTCTACCGAGCAGAGATCACATCCATGGCAGAAAAATGGGAAGAAGATTTTCAAGGTTATGACGTAAATCGTTTTCAAGAAGGTGTCAGAGAAGATCTACTTTGTTCCATTTGTCAGGAAGTTCCAAAGGATCCTAGACTTTGCCAACACAAAGATCATATATTCTGTTTCGCTCATATATCACGACATCTCGACTGTGATCTCGTTCAAAACTCTCAAACATGTCCAGTTTGCAGATATCCTCTGAATGAAGAAACCTTGAGACGACCAACAGGATTTCTGAAGAATTATTTGGACGACCTTAAAATCAAGTGTGATAATCATGATCGAGGATGTCCTGACTACGTCCGTCTGGAGAATCTCCCAAGACATGTCAAGGAATGTGGATATGCTCCTGCTATGTGTCGTAACGAAGGATGTGAAACAGAGATCAATAGAAGAGACATTGAAGCTCACGAGAAAGATCTTTGTCACTACAGAATCGCCAAATGTCACGACTGTAAAGATATCAAGGTGAGTCAGATCCTAGAAAAAAAATCTAAGTAGATATACATAACATCTCAGAATCTTGAAAACAATTCTACTTTCACTTAGAACAATGTGAACGAAATTAAAGCAAGTCTGGATGTAACGATTGATCAAATGACTGCAATGAAAGGAAGACAGGATGAAATGCAGAGAAGAGGAAATGAAATTAAGGTAAAACGAATATTCCAGTCATTTATTGCTTTGAATAGCGGGCAGGCCGGCGGTGGTCGGGCAGGCGCGGGTTGAGAAATGAAATTGGAGAAGTCTCTGCGATGTAATGTTTCTATTATTGATTTAATGTTTCTAATAATGTTTCTAAGATATTGCGTTCCTATGGAGAGATATAATTAGGTGAAAGCAACTAATACTGTCACTGCCCTTCCCTTCACAGATTGACCATAACGATTGTAAAAGATATGTATTTAATTACGAATCAACTGTGAACTAAATATGACAAACGTTTCTTTCCATGTGCTCGAAGCAACGCCATTGTCTCGCGAGTCCCACGCGTGATTATTAGGTAATAATATAATTAGGACAGGGGCCCTACAGTACGATGAATATTTAAATTCAACGGAGAACACCCGTTAACGACCAAAGAAAGATGTTGTTTACAACAGAATATGCAAATGCGCGCAGACTTATATAACTGATAGCCAATAGCTCTAGAGGTTAAGACCAACTTCATAGCCATTCCGATGTTAAATTAACATTTCAACATATGTTAATTACACGTAAAGCGAGACTTCATTAGTTCAGTATGTACCACTCGTCAAAATTTTATGTTCGTAGCGTTTTATTAGTCGAAAGCGGTTCACGTGCGACTTAAAAAAATTCTGATGTCGCGATGTTTCATGGTACTCCGACCTAACTCGGGTTTCCAATTAATGTTTCCTTCGGTCGTGCATGGTAAATAAATTTTTGCCTTTGACATTTGATGCAAATTTGGAAGTTTAATTTCGACCAAAACTATCATAGTTTAATACCGAAACTCATATATGAGAAGAGCGCTCAATTTCCTTCTTATCGCTATCGAAATCGTTCATTATAGTCAATAACCTCGATTGCACTGTTAATTCAAAAGAGTCATTTTGACTCCTTCAAAGGAGTCGTTTTCTTGACCCCAGGACGACACCTTGAAGAGAGTCATTTTGACTCATTTTGGGTTGACACCTGTAAAGAGTCATTTTAACCCTTTAACTAGAGTCATTTTGATTTTTTTGGCATAAAGGCATCAAAGGAACTTATAGTTTTTCCTTAGACTGTATCACTATATGCATGACTTTGAAATAGAGTCGAAATATCACCTTGAATATTGTGTCTTGTTTTTTAACAACTCATATATCTTGAGTTTACAAGATGTTTATTTTCGGAGTATGTTTTCTCTTATATTTCGCAAAACTGTCTCCTGGAAAAGGTTTTTAATACGAATATCATGTGGCACATTATATGGCTTTTCAACGAATACTGCTCGTCCATCCCCTGCCTATTTTAAAACTTCTCACACAAAAGCCTCTGTGGAGAAGAATGGCTTGGAATTATGATAAACTGAATTTTTATCATAAAACTTAATTGTGTACTTACTTAAACATATTTTTGATAATTATGATCGAGTGAAAGTTAAATCGATTAATGAAACGTAATATTAATAATTTCCACAAATTATTGCAAAAAAGACCAACCTAAATTATTAAGATATTTCTTCACTACTTAAACTTCGGTTTAGAAAAATTTGGATGATCTTAAAGCACGCCAAGATGAAACGAATGTTCAAATGTCTGCAATGAAAATAAATCAGAATCAAATTAAGAGAAATCACGATGACATGAAAAAATATCAGGATGAAATGAACACAAAACTGGATGAAATTAAGGTATGATTAATCTTTTCATTTATTACCTGCTTTAAATCAGTGGGATCCATTGAATTGGTGCCAAAAAATCAATGGTATGTATTTACTTGAACGTTTTTTCGGTAAGTATGGGCGGTCGAAACAAAAGACGTGTACCATACTATATATTATATCTGTTAACAATTTTTTCTAATCAGAAAAATGTGGATGAAATTAAGAAATATCAGGATCAAACGAATGTTCAAATGACTGGAATGGAAAGAAACCAGGATGAAATGATGGTAAGACAAGTTATTCATTGCTCTCATTTAAGGCAAATTAAATGGACGCGAAAATAAATTTAATCACCCATGGTTTTTCGAAGGCTGAAATATATCGTTCAAGTTCAAAACAAACAAGTATTTGTTTAGATATTAACCTTTTTTTCCTTAATTAATGAGAAAATAGAGACGGAAGGGCTGTTTAATAATTTTTGATTATTTAAAATCCATGCAGCAAATCTCGCTGTTCGGCGGCACGACATTATGCATCAATTAGCGTGGTTAGATTACTTTATTTTTAAACTAGGAAAGTATGAAAGAGATGCGAAAAGAGTTTGAGAAAATAATTACGATGATGAACCAGGGCTTTCAAGCAGATAATACAAGCAAGAATGGTGCTAGCGCTATAGATCACACAGGTCCAGTAACCAATGAAGATGTTATTATTATTGGTGGTCGGTGTGGGCCAGGAAGTGACCAGGTATTAAATACAGTCGAGAAATACAGCATAGTAGAAGGAAGGTCAACTGAGCTACCACAATTAAATCATCCTCGAGCATCATCGGTATCGTGTGTTTACAACCGCAATGTTCTCGTCGTTGGTGGCTACGTTGGTAAAACAGGAACGGATTTAATCGAAATATTGAAGACTAACCAACATCCTTTGCGATGGACCATGTTTGATGGTAAACTGCCTGTCAAATTATCTGGTCACGACGTCATAGTTTATGAGGGAAAACTATATGCAGTTGGTGGACTAAACTGGAATGAAAGAGCTTCATCGAATGCCATTTACGAGATTGCTCTCACCCCACCTTATACAACCAAGCTGCTGACAAGAATGATTGTGCCAATAAGTGATCACAGAGCAGAACTTATTAATGGAAAACTATATATCTTAGGCGGGTCAACAACAGGCCATAGTAAAGATGCTCGTGACAGCGTTGTTGTGTATGATTTGATTGAGAATGTGTTCAAGCCATGTCCATCGTTGCCTCGGCCTGTTTGTTTTATGTCAACAGTAACATGGCGTAATATGATTCTAGTTGTTGGCGGCTGTGATAGGAATAATCGGGCATTAAATGATGTATTCATGTTAGACACTGACACCGGACGATGTGAGATACTTCCACCCATGATTTACAAAAGGAGCCGCTGCTTTGCTGTAATGATGAATGACGTCATTTTTGTGTTCGGTGGACACAATAGAGAGCAGGGATTTCTCGATTCAGTGGAATCTTTCACCATTGGTGGCGATGGTTGGAAAGAACTGCCACAGATGATTGAAAAAAGGAGATACGCAACTGGTGTAATTAAACCCCTGTAAGTAAATACGAAGAATGAATTTGGAGAAAGGATGCACAAATAATTGATACGTAAATAATGTAGATATGTTACATGATCTTGAAAACAATCTTTCAAACATTACTGAGCCTTTAGAATCAAAGATAATAATTAGGAACACTTATACGAAGTCAAACGGCTTTTTTATGTTACAGTTTAAAACTCTATATATTTACTGTAATTCCAAGAGAAGACAAACACAAAATGTTAATTAGTTTAATTTATCATTTCAGAAGTGCAATCGAATTAAATCTATTTTCACGTACAATGTCCTAGTTTTTAAACAATTTTACTATATTCTTTATTCTCTCAATTTTTACTAACAGAAACTGATTTGGGCCCCATGCTCCCCATGTTCAATTGCTAGATCCAGTCCTACAACAACCTCGCCTGCCAGGCTCTTCTACCTACGCTCCACGGCCAAAGCTGTGGCGAAGACCCTGGTTAAGGCTGGTTACGTGATTCGTTTGTCACGCTTCTCCCGTGTTGGGATGCGTGGGACACAAGTAGCGCATAAATCACATCAGTAAAACAGCGTGTTTCTAAGGACGGAATATCGAGCTAAATAACCTGTGTCGTTATTGTTATTTGCCCTCTAAATTCGCTCATCGACGCCCAAATTTAGAAGATAGCACAGGCCTTCGAGTGTCTGTATGGAATGTTAACGAAATTGTGACGATACTAAAACCGATTCTATCGACGATGATACAGTCTACACATACACTTCGAATCTCAATGCGGTTTATTGTTTTTTGTTACTTAGTGTTTCTATTGATAAATCAAATCCCGAGCAGAAAGCGAAGGAAACTCAGGATGAACCGGGTGAACCTTCGAGCGTTATTCAGTCTGGTATCTTAAAGCATGCAATAGAGTTTCCTCGCGCCATGGAAAAGCTTAAAATCAACTCGGACAGAAAGATTGAAACTGCGAGAAAAAGATTCGAGAAAGCGCGCGAGACAGCAACCACCGCTTTCAGGAATGAGGCATTTAGTATCGAAGATCGAATTTTTGCTGCGAAGCTACGTTGGTATGTTTGGAAATTCAGCAGCAAGTGTCCATTGGAAGTGCATGCCAACGATTGAACTTCATGATCGTAGTTTTCACCCAATAAGAAATTGGAAGGAGATTTCAACAAGAAAGTCGATGGGAGAGCAATTGCCTTATCCTCCCTACGAACAGTTCCTTGACGAAGAAATAATACCCGACCTATCAGCTGTGAACAGTCAGGGGGATGTTTTTACTTTCCCTGATACTGGGTCTGGTGACAACATCATGATTATCCATGAGGCAGGAAAAATCAAACGGGTTGAATTACCTGAATTTGCAGGTAATTTTTTATTGTTACGTTGTTAAGTTTAAACGTGACTCGAGGTTGACATTTTCATTGAGTATTTCCCAGCAGAATGAAAGCATGATACCAACAGACGATGGTACGGCGGTTCATTTAACCCCCCACGGGACTTCTACGCTTATGAGAGAACCAGTGACACATGCTAGATATAATTGCATGGGTCATTGACAAGAACGCAAGCAATGACCTAACCCTGCAAGCCAGGCTTTTCTACCTTCGATCAACGGCCCACGATGGCTTGCGAGGTTGACAATAGCCTTCCAGAAATGCAACCTCTGAGCTCGCCTATCCTCGTTAAACGCGTTTATTTTCTCGTTTCAGCTCCTGTTGGTGGTCATTTGGGTCGCTGGTCCTCTTAGATAGATATTATCCCGATGAAAATTGCAAGCATAATCGATCCAGAAAATTTTCAGATGCATGGCGGGAAAAGACTGCCCAGGGGTTGCGAAAGAAGAAAAAGATTGCTACGCCAACAGTACATGCAACCCAGGTTTGTTTTTTGGATCAGTTCATTTCAGCTTGGTTAGACAACATCTTGTCTCTGCCTGCCCATCATATTTGAAGAGCGTTTTAGCTGCTCAGGCGAAGTCTCGTTAAACTAATGATGGAATATTATTTTATTTCTTTGTAGATAACTGTGATTTTACGCGCGGTAGTTACTGTCATTGGACCCGTTATAAAAACATGGATTACTTCTGGCAAGCACATAAAGGATCAACACCAACCGGAAGCACTGATCCAAATCAAGACCATACTACTGGCACGGGTAAGAAATTTCAGGGATCCATCATCATCATTTGTCATCCCCTTTTTTATCCCAACTCATCGGCCATCTCTACCATCATTACCCATCATCATCGGCCATCATTACCCATCATTGTCAAACGTTATTCATTATTGTCTATTGTTACTAATCGGTGCACCTGATCCTCACTATCCACTATTATCCCACAAATATCCATGATTATCCACCATTATCCAAGACTATCCAGCCTTACCTATAATTTCCATCATCGTCAAATTTCCAGGCCATTACATTTTTACCAAGTTCAGCTTCCCCGCCAAGGAGAACGACACAGCACTCCTAACAAGCAAACAGTTTCCACCCTCGCAATGTCATTGCATTTCCTGGTATTATCATGTATGTATGGTCGCTCAATGGGAGAACTCAGCGTGTACATTAAAGACCCTGTGGGTTCTAAGAGGATAATATGGGATCGGAAAGGTGATCAGGGAAACAGATGGATATTAGATAGCGCAATAATATCTAACGTGTCTATGACTAGTTACCAGGTTTGTATGATATTTTCGTTTTAGTTGATAATTTTTTTACTCTTGAACATTACTTTTTGGCCATCCATGGAAGTATCGCATTGTCTTACACCTGATTTTGAAAGAAATGCTCTAATTGAACTGCTTTTACTTGTATACAGTCATTTCAGTCCAGTAAAAGAGCAGCTGATAATGAAGCTGATAAAAATATTCCCCTAAAATCTTCAAATTGCCCATGTATTGAAATACATCGATCGATACAACTTCGTAGGATTAGTTTGTGCTTTGGTTAGTTTGTCCATGCATGAGGGTATAGGAATAACAGGTCACCATTCTAAACCAGGAGCGAGAGACACAGGAGGGCGGGGGGCCCTCCCTGGCCCAAAAGTAAATTTGTTCTACCGCCCCGGTAATTAAGACCCAATCTTGTAGTCCCAGGTAGCAGTTTTATTTCGGAGTAAATGTGGGGCAATGACCAAAATCATCCAATATCATTCGATACTTTCCAAGCATCTTTGATCTTCGAATGTTTACTTAAAACGGTTCTATTATTCCTGTGAAAAACTACTGCTTGTTCACATTCTTACGTGACAAATTTTTGAAAAATTACGTCACAAATTTTCATTTAGGTGGAATTTGAGGCAATTCGTGGCCGATCTTTTTATTCTGACATGGCTTTGGATGACATCCATTTCAAGGAAATGCTCTGTGGTAAGTCGCTACACTCTGGGTTAAATATGATCATTTTCATCAATGGTACTCAAATTAATGTACATCTCTGATTGACTCTGAAACTACTTAAGCGACCCCGACTGGTTCTTCCGAAAGATGAAGGCCTTTGATAAGACCAACAATGCCTTGATCCTTCAATAAAACACGATTCTCGCGATGATAGAAATTAGAATCATTTTTTAATGCTAACAGTGGTTTTGCATTTGAAACATTAAATCAACGAGAATGCGAGTTGGCAAACAAAGGTTAATTTTTCTGCATCAGGGATTTTTTTGATGAACTATCAATGCTTGGTCAAACGTCAACAAGAGTTCTATGCGATTTAAACCGAGTTGACAGGCCATTGATCAGAATTTAGGACATTAGATAAACAACTGACTCTCACTGTAATTTTTTAAATATAAAATTAAGTACACATCAATGACTTTTGTGTCCATTAACAAAGATACATATTTAATTAAGTGAACTTTCTACAGTAAAGAGGGGCTCATGTTTTGAAACAAAGATACTTTGTTACAGTAAGCTTATCTTAAACGAGCTTTACAAAAGCTCTTTGTTCAAATGACAATTCTTCGGTTCTTGAAATCAACACACAAGTCAAACGTTAAACACAGCTCTTTGTATATATTTAGGTGTACAACACTTGGGATGCTTTAACGATCGTTATAAAAGAGCTTTGCCAGACTTGATTGCGAATCTCCGGGATAAAATAGACTGGTATGACATGCAAAAGACCGTCAGAGAATGCGGCTGTGTTGCTTATGACAAAGGATACAAGGTATTTATAAAATACCAGACCAGTGGCAGTGCAAGGCTTTCATGTTTGTCTCAGGCCTGAATAAAGTCAATTATAACTGGACCATCCACAACATGGATATTATGGTAGAGATATCCTGCATTCTGACCCAATCCCTCTCATACACTTAATAATAATACTGCATTGCGTTAACCAAATATAAATTTCGCTTCCACTTTCGAATCAACATGCAAGCATTGATTATTTTATTATTTAGTATTTTGCTGTGCAGTTTTACGGAGAGTGTTGGGGAGCGAGAAGTATGATTGAATATGACAAATATTGTGCTTCTAACGACTGCTGGTCTGGTGTCGGAAAAGATTTCACGAATTATGTTTATAAATTCACTAAATAAGATACGTTTTATGTTCCTTCTATCTATATCATAACATTCCCAATATTTTAGGATTAAGCCACTAGTATGAAGGAAGTTGCATGTCACAAAGATTGGGAAGAAAAAGACTTGCGTCCGTGCAAATCTATTCTTATAGAGAGTTTACCGTGTAGTATTGTATATATACACAGCAAAAAGTCGCTTTCTTATTTTGAGAAAAAAAACTCATTTCAAGATTTTTTATCTTGAAATGAGAAAAATTTTCATGGGAGAATAGCAAGAAATAATTTCTCGCTAACAAAACATATCAAGAAAATATTTTCTTGTTTTAAGAAAAAATGTTTTCTTAAAACAAGAAATTTTGGAGAAAAATAATCTTAAAACAAGAAATATAGTAACTATTTTTTAAGAAAAATTAACTTAATTTGAGAAATATTTACTTATATTAAGAAAAATATTCTTGTTATAAGAAAGTGGGAGAATAGCAAGAAATATTTTCTGAGCAAGAATTTTTTTCAGAATGAGAAAATTTTTCTTAAAACCTATTTTCTTGTTTTAAGAAAACATCTTTCATAAGAAATTATAATGTCTAAGTTAGATAAAATTACACCTAAAAAATGAGAAAATATTTTTTACATATAAGAAAAAAATTTTATTTCAAGAAAAACATCCTTGTTTTGAGAATAAATACGTTCAAATGAGACAATTTTGACTATTAAAAATAGCTGAAAATCCTAGTAATAATTTTATATGCTTTTATAATATGAGTAATAATATACATGGATATTTTACTTAACAAAAGTTCAACCTACTTCTTTATATGACCTTAACATGCTTATACAAGCTAAACTGATGTCCTGTGGCACTTGAGTGTCTTTTAGAATTATAACTTGCAGGACTGGCAATTCTATTTCATGATGTTTTGGATAGTCGATGTCCAACAAATAGAATGAAGCCAGGAAGGCAACAACTGCATCAGCTATCTTTTCAACTGCTGCCCACATCAAAATATGTTTTTCAATAACAATGTAAATACCTTCCTGGTCAATCAGGATGATTGGAAGATTTCGAACTCATTTTCCCCAAAATACTTTAGATCTTCACTGTCGACCTATATATAGAGTACAAACAAAATGAATGCTCATATCAACAATTTAAGTTCACATTATAAATTATGCCTGAAAGCCATTTGTGAGTATTTATACATGTTATATTGCTTAATACCTCTGTATAGATTTACATGCAGTTAATTCATGGACTAACTAATTATCCTAAATTTTGTCCACTTTTGTCAGGAAATATCATAGAAATCTTCTTTAGGAGATGTATCATGTTACGACAAGCCTTCTGGATGTTTGGGAGATGGTTATGCTATTGATATTATTGTGATTTAATTGTGACAAATAGAATTTTAATGTATATAATTTCAAAACTTGCAACATATCTAACAACAATCTAACTGGTAAAAATCTGGCAACATATAGGTTTATTGAAATGTAGGCCATAATCATATAGTTTATCAAATACCATGCAACAAGAGAAAAAGTATTTCTTTATAATGCATTAAAATCAAGGCAATAAAAAATACATAGTGACTATATGGCCGGCAGCCGGTCAGGTATTAGAAAATACTATTTGACCGGCAGTCTAGTTTTTATAAGCTAAATATAAAATGTGTTGTTTAGAACTAATTTCAGCGATTGCAGATTAGCTCAAAAAGTAAGGTGTGCGTTCGCCTCGTTCTTGAACACGGGTTCGGATCCGCTCCGCGACAATATTTTCCCCTAATTTTTAACTAAAGTTTTTTTAACATTTTCGGTTAGGTTTATAGGGTTAGGACCGTTAGGTTAGGGTTAGGGTTAGGGTTAGGGTGAGGTTTAGAAATAAAAGTTAGGATTAATATCGTGGAGCTTGGACATGAAACGAACTATGGACATGAAACTATGATCGAAACATACTACCGGGTGTCCCAAAAAAAAGTACCTATTTTTAATTCAACATAACTTGTAAGCGAACTGAAGAATTGCAATCAAATATCCATATTAAGGTGAGTAATGTCTAACTTAAAGATTGATATGTTGCATATGAAGTTTTAGCGAGTAGTTTCATTGATATTCGCGTTTAAAGACACGGTAACGTTTTGAAATGTGTCAAAAATCAGCAAAAAATGGCTTGTTAAATTTGTTTCAACAATACCAGTTCGTAACACGGTTTCTTGTAACTTATTCTTTAGTTTTTTCAGAAAATTTGTTAAGTCCTTAATACGACTTTCTGAATTTGTAAGGTTTAACATGTAAGTTTCCAGTTATTGTTCATTTTTGCATCATTATTTTATGTCCCTTGGGACCTGATGAACTTAAGAACCACTTACGAACCCAAGCAAGAAGCGTAGTTTTCTAAAGTCATCGCGACAAACGTGATATCGCAATAAAACATGCCTGGCTTGACAAAAGATCAAAGCGTTTGGGTTTGCCTAGAGTATGCAAGAACGAATAACGCGTATGAAGTGTTAAAACGATGGGATGAGCGATGGAACAACGACCCGAGGCCTACAAGACGAAGTGTGGTCAAAATTTATCGCAAGT